GCACAGAATTATTCAATCACACAGTGTTCAGAAAGTGCATTGTCCTCTATTCTGCATTTTAGATGAATGACTGTTTAGGTGCCACTGGTGGTGGCACTGTATCGATACTTTTAAAAACAAGTATTGTATCCGGATACAACATTTCAGTATCGATACTTTTTTGAGTATCAATACTTTTGACAACCCTAATCTGTATGATACAGGAGTTTTACTTTCTGAAGTAAATGTCAGAAATATTTTCTTGAGATTCTTTTCTTTTTTGGTGTTAATTTAGCCACTTATTGTAACAGTGATAACAAATCATTCTTTTCTTATCAGTGTCTATGTTATTGTTTCTTTTTCTGGTGAATGCAAAATGCCGCCAAACCAATGATTTAAAACTAGTTTTGGCTTCTAAGTGCTGTTTGCCAGTCAGGTGTAGACTTTATTAGCCGCTTCCAAGAGAGATTTTCTACATTACTTCAAAATAAGAGTCTCACACAAATGTACCTTAGCATCCAGGTTAATAATAATAATAATAATAGCTTTGTCAGACTTCACATTGAGGAGTAATATTGTGACCTTCAAATATCTCAGCATCTCATTCCTGAAAATTGTGATAAATCCCTCATTTTAAATGATCTCAAGTTTAATGTTCATTCAAGCGAAAACAAAATACAACAGGCTTTATGAAGATTTCAGTTCCTGAATATAACATCAGATTGTGGTTGGTTCAATTGAGAGTTCCCTGAATAAATAACATTTCTTGTAGTTTTTCCATAAACTTTTATAGAGAGGAAATCTAGGTCCGTTATGTGCGCAAAACCGCTTGTTGCATAGTCTTTCATTTGTTTCTCTTTATGTTCTGATTATAAATATCTCATAGCTACAATGTCAGCTGAGCAGTAGGAGATTTTGGTATGTATCATATGCTGACAACCTCCAGAGAATAAGTGTCTCAGTCAAAGTGAACAAAGTTATGCTGCCCTCCCTTTCCGGTTGTACCAAAAGAGTAGCCTCCTTTAAAATCCCTTTAATTATGCTGTCACACAAATTACCATAATCATCTTTACTTATCTTTACCTGAGCTGTTTGAGATGCAGGTCAGTTTAATTATATTCAGTCATGAGCAAGAGACGCTAAAGCTCAATTTTTTTTCTTCATTATTTTGAATTTAAAAATCCAATTAATTCACATATGCCACACAGTAATTTAGGGCTTAAGTTGTTCAGTGTTTTCAACCACAATAATTTAAATCAAGATGAAGCTTTTTGAGGTCTTACCAGTTTTCTGGTTGGTAAATAGAGAAGTCCTGGGTGTCTTCTCATAAATAAGATTCAAATTGCAGTGAACTAACCTCTCAAAGGATGACCTTCAGTAAATAAAATCTTAAATAGCTAATTAAAACCTGCCATTAAAGCAGGTTGCTCAAAGTCCCTGATGGCTAATAGATGAGGTTGTGGTCATTGAAGCTGAAGATTTCATCAGTGCTTGAGTGGGATGTTTTTTGCTTACAATTTCAGTTGTTAATGCCATCCACATTCCTAGTGCACTTAACATGAACTTTAGACTCTTCTTTTGACTCCTCTTCCTCCACTTCTTTTCTCCTCTTCTCATTTTTTCTTTTCAATTTATTTGATCAGTTTTTATGGCTACATGTTTAAATGTACCCCTAACAAGAACCACTCTTAGAAGGGAAAAGTAGGGTCATTTCTTAGAATTGAAGATGTAAAATCATATAGATAATTGCATTTGGATGCTATGAATGTCGCTTTCAGTTGGGGGGATTAAAGAAAACAGGGAATCACAAAGATACTTCATAAAAGCCCTCCTTTCTAAATGTGCACCCACCCAGCCACCCTCATTATTTACCCCATCAGCTGTGGAAGTGGGATGCTTGAATGACGCCACTGCCAAATAACTGCCCCCTGTGGGGAATTTGCATTATTCACGATTAAAGAAGCTCACACAGTGCGTCACAGTATGGTGTTCCTCCTTCCCCTCCATTTCCAACATGCTGAGGACCCTGAATGGCACACCTGTCTCCTGGCATATCCTTTGAAATAATAAGTATGCTGTAATTGCCGGAGAGTGGGACGGATTTTGTACATCACTTCCTGACCCCATGAGTGACAAACTTTTAGTGGGGCTGCATTTATTCCTTTCCCAATGCATTTTTAATGAGGGGTAAAAAGTGTTGCCGCATTTTGTTCTAGATGGCAGGAAAGTGGCTGTGACAGGTCTAATGGTTTTAACTTTATTTTTTATTTTCTAGGGAAATCAGAGGTTGGCAGATGTGATTACCTTCTCCTCCAAAAAAAAAAAAATTACAAAGGCTGAACAGATTAGTTCAGATTTAGCATTCTGAAACCGTAGTTTCAGAACGTTTTGGTACTTGATAGCCATAGTTGGCATTAATAATGGTTGAAATGACAGGTTTTTAAGTAGATTCCCTAATATCAACACGAATAAAAACCCTGAAGCACCTCTACTGATGACTGGTGGAACAAATCTTTTTGCTCTGCCATCACTCTCACAATTTCTCATTGCTGTAAGACATCTCATGAGTTTATTTGTGGTTAAAATAGCTTGATAAAAATCACAAATGTTTGTTTTCCATCTCCTCCTCCTCATTCATCTTATTACCTCATTTTCTATGCCACATCTTGCTTCTTTTAACTCATGCTCTGCTGTTGACAGCTTACCTTGCAGAGCCTCCCCTGTACCCTACTACTGAGCAATGAAGTGCTGGAACATGCTGCCTTCTGTTATAATTTAGAATCTCTGCCAGTTTCATGTCTTCAAAAAGCAGGAGCAATGAATTTAATTAGAAAGCTGTTGCATATCTCTGTGATACATTTCTTTTAATTAACCCCAAGTGAATAAATTAAAAATAATAGGGGCTGAAAAGTGTTGAAAAAAACACCCTAATGAAGTTTTCTGTTAATTGGGATGAAGTCTGCAGCCAAACCGCAGAGAGCAGTGCGCACCAGGAGCAAACAATACTGTCTGTAAGCTCTTAAAAAAAAGGGCCCAGGGCCTCCGTGCTGACTTCAAGTGTAAGAAATGCACCTCTGACGTGATGGAAATGACCATGGGCTTGGAGAAAAGGCTGTCCTGTTCTGGGCCGCTCTGCTGAGACTCCCCGTGCCGCGCTTGAAGCCGAGCCAGTGTTATTGCAGTTCTAATGCGGCTGACTCATTTGGAGCGGATCAGGAGTAATTATGGTAGGAAAAGTGGCTGCCGACCGAGGGGGTCAGGACACTTGTAACATGTGAAAAGAGCAATTATTCCAGGAGACAAAACCCTCCCTTATCCCGGCCGGTGCCAGGGTCAATGCAAGGGACGGCTGGGCTTCATTTCAGTAAGGCTTATTAGCCACAGCAAGCTGCAAAGTTTGAGAGAGTGCATCTTGTTAATGAACAGTCCCCCTGCACCATTCCTGTCTGCTTTCTCTCCCACTTACTGTGGGTGTTAATTATGTCATAATCATAGCAGGCATAGACTCACAGAAATCACCTCACAGACCCGAGCATTCATACACAACCATCTGGAAAAGCAAAATTCTGTACTGTAATAAAGAAAGCTTTTACAACAAATTATAAGAAGAACACACAGCCAGCTTGATCTCTAATAATGACTGGGGCAATTGCAAGAAATTGCCTAATTTTAGGGAAACGGTGTATGCATGTGTATCATTCTGTGTTTATGCATTGCTTTTTCTTTACTCCTTCCATATGTTTTAGCTAACGATTTGAACACGAATCAGTGGCCTTTGTTTATCACAGAGAACTCTCTCATCAGGCTGCTTTCAGCTGACATGTGTATTACAGCTGATTTTATTACCAGATGTCTTGTGTTTTGTCTTGCAGACTGAAAAACATGTCTTTGGGTTCAATTGAGGAGATTTTTGGAGCCGAGCTTCACATACAATAGAAAGACATCTGCATCAAATCTCTATTAACCGCAGTGGCCGACACCTTGGCCCTGGGACAACATTTTATTTGGGATTGCCATGGCCATAGCGATTACAGTGGTTGCTGAAATACAACGGACTTGAATAAATTGGCGCCTGAAGGCTGTAAACTCATGAGGGACGATTAAAGTTATGGTAATGGAGCAAAGACGCATAATTTTTTTCACCATTTTATTCAGCAATGGCTAATATGATGTTTTAAAACATAATGTATTGTTATCTAATAAGATGTTATATGGAATATTGTAATATGATATAATACAATATGTAAATGCACTACTTAGTTTTGCCCGACATGGTCAATTTTTGACTGATGATTGATTTGCATGCAATTTGTTTTTTAAAACAATACATAGATATATAAGAATAAAATCCATTTTCATTAAATGCATAAAAGGTTTTTGTGTGGTAATGCAATAACAAACAGCATGTGCGTTTATGTAATATTTTTTTTTTTATTTAGGAGAAAGATAAGCTTTAATTTTTCATTCAATAAAACAGCAAATGTAAACAAACACAGCAAATCTCTTTCTATTTAATATCTTACAATCCTTAAACAATTCTTTTAAATTGGTCAAACTCAGAGATGGCGGTTTAGACCTAAAAGACGCTGGATATTGAAGTCGGCCAGAAAAGCCTGATTTGTTTGTTTGTTTGTATTTTTGTTTATCTCTTTCATTAAGATATAACACAACATAGAGAGTATTGGAGTACTGCAAAAGAGGACTGCAAAAGAAATAGCTTTATGAGATGTTCATTTCTTAAACTGATCCTAACCAGAGCTAATGTTAGCCCCTACTATATGTTTTGTGATGTATTCAGTTATTTGTTTTGATATTTTTAAACCTGCAATTACAAAAACATCTTTCTGGTGATGGATGGTTTAGTCACTGCAAAAAATAATTTATGAATATTTTGCATCTACTTATGAATATGTAGTTACTAAGATTTTACTGCTACATGCTAGTTAAAAATACAGTCCTTGTCGAAGCATTAGCTGTGTCCATAGTTTAAATTCACACACTAATTACTGCTCAAAACGTAAGTTCATAATGATTTATCCTGCTTGGCTAAGTTTTTTTTTTCCCGAGTGTCTCATCATTAGAACTGTTGTAGGCTTTTTTATGCAAAGCACTTTTTTGAATCAATAGTTGACACTGATTAAGTTAATTATAACCATAATAAGAAGTGGAAATGCTCCAGACAAATGGAATCATTACTTTATTCTATTTTATTTTTTGCAGATCTAGTTATTTTGTGATCATCACGATGGGGGCTTAAACCTTTCTCTCAAAGCAGCTGGGGGCTGCAAATTATTAGGGGTCCTGAGAGAATGGGCCACCCAGGGCAAATTTCCACCTCCTAAACATCACCTCCCCCCCACCCCTTCTCCTAATTTGTCAGGAAGGCTGAACAGTCAAATCTTTAACCTCCCCTTGAATCTGGAGAGTAGGCATCACTGGGTTGAATATAAAGCTTTTAACCAATCAAGAGAAGGAATATGGAGCTGTTATTTTTTTTCTGCTGTTAAAGGTTTGGGGGCTTGTGCATTAGTCTAAACACCTTAAATCAAAATACACATCAAAATTATTTAAAGAAAAATAACTGCTTTGTAATTCACTGGTTCTGATGCTTCAATGACTAAAATAAAAGATGAAGCAAAAATAAATGCAGCAACAGCAGAATTTCACACAATGTGATAATTAACCTCAATGCTTGAGCCGATGTTGAATCAATAACAGGTCTTCCTTCAAGTTGAACAACTGACACACAGATAGTTGTTTATTCCCTTGGGGTGTTGAGGAAATGTGTGTACATGATTAAAAATACAGTTGGGAAAATATTTTTTTCCTACAGAAACCAAGCATTGTTTAGGAACGGCTGATAAATAGTTGCTTTCAGTATTCTTACTCATGCCGTATTTCTCTTTTAACTACATGTTTTTTTTACCTTTTCAAAAGGTTTCCTTGACTGATCTGTGATGTGTATTTTTTCTTAAAAACTTCAATATATACAAAAAAAAAAGCCTACTAGACTGATTTGGTTTTTCTGATAACTGCAAAAATGAAAGTGTAAATAGGGTAAGAGAAGTCGGATGGTATCTATAATGAAAATACATGCTCTGACAGGCCGCTTGGGCTGAGTAAAACTAACTGTACATATTCTTTGAAGATGTAATCTTAAAGAAAGAGAGAGATGACAGGGCTTTACACCCAGCACTAATGGCAAATTAAATTCCCCTCTCAGGAAAGATATTTGGTAGAGCAAGAGCTGTCTCTCCACTTTGTTGGGAAAATGTATCCCCGTGTTGGGGGAATGAATTTTGATGTGGAGAGGCATGCTTTTTTTTGACATCAAATGACACCGGAAGGTCAGTGGCACTTGTATCTGTTAAATGGGATGGATTAAGTGGAGGCTGCCTCTTGGTCTGCTTCTTACTTTCATAATGCAGCTTGGTTTTGTTTTATTGTTTTTTATGTTTTTTATTTTTTTTTCTGGGAGGTGCTAAAGAATTTAGGGTTCTGCTCTACGGCATTTCGCATAGCACCCGGAGTGATGACAGGTGCAAGAAAATGTCTCATGACATTAAGGGAATTGAAAAGACATTCACTTTACACAATCACTTTCTTTCCTGTCACTGCTTTTTGTTTAGTAGGTTTTAACTCCTGCTTGCTGCACTCCTGTTTTGCAGAGGCTGTTTTTCGGAGAAGACATAAAACCTGTTTGTTCCCAGCGATGGCTCTTCAGGCAGTTTGCAAAATAAAAACTCTGCCACAGTCTGGAGCAGAGAACCCACCACATACGCTTGTAGGAATAAATGTCAGACTAACTGGAAACAGAACCTGGGTAATATTAGACAGAAAGTGTGGTGTCATTTTAAAGGTGCTTAGCAGGGTTTTAAACATCTAACGGCAGCTGTGAGCAGCACACAGTAATTCCAGGATAGGTTAAAGCTTGTCCTTTTCAAACGTGATGTAAAACAGAGTGTATGTCGGGAGTGGTGGTCTCAGCCAATTAGGAGTTGTTCCTTCGGTGGTGCAGGAATGACCTTTTTCATATAATTACTTCTCTTATTTAAAGCAAAGATTTTGAGTTGAATAACTAATTAGGTGTCATAAAGGCAAATTAAAGATTTTTGTAATCCTTGAGGGAATTGGAGCGACTCTTTTTTTTTTTTTTTTTTTTTTTTTTTGATTCTTGCTGAACACAAGCTCTGATTCAAAACACANCTTCGGTGGTGCAGGAATGACCTTTTTCATATAATTACTTCTCTTATTTAAAGCAAAGATTTTGAGTTGAATAACTAATTAGGTGTCATAAAGGCTAATTATTGTTTTTATTAATTCTTGAGAGTATTTTATTGACTTTTTTTTTTTTTTTTTTTTTTTTTTCTTGCTGAACACAAGCTCTGATTCAAAACACACACGCACATACAAGCTCTCCCTCATTAAGACTGTTTTTAGTTCTGTAGAAGCCTGACAGGCGAGCTCTGTTGGCATACCTGCAGAGAGCTCCCCTAACAAGCCATGAAATACAGGTAGCCGTGTCTGCTCTTATTCAGTGTGGCTTGAATTCGAAGCTTTTTTAGTTTCATTTATGCTGAACATTGGTATTTATGGCAGGGTTTGTAATCCTAATGCAGCAACTTCAAGGTGTCTGTTTTGGGGTGGCAGGTTAGGGAGCTGAAGGGCAGGCAGGACACTAATTGTTGGCTCCCATCACTAGCTCTGAACCAATTACCCTCTACTCTCTACTTTTGATAAAGAAATAAGACAGCTCGACACCACTAGAGTCCTTTCTGACATATAAACCAATGCCATAAATTAGACTAACAAGCTCTTCCTTTTTATTCACCTCTTATGTAAAAGGGGAAATTGTTAATTAAGTTGCATCCCCTGCAATATTGATGTAGGGATGGAGAAAAAGTGCAAATCTGGATTTAATAATACATTTTTTTTTGTCTATTTACGTGCGTGTACATGTGTGAAAGAGTTAGAAAAGCTAGGCGGAAATGGGATTTTCTATTCCAAAGAAGTTTTTGTGAAAAGCAGTGTAAGGTCGTTTTGAAAGAGAGTAAACTCAATAAACTTCGCTGAAAAAAAAACAGCAAGAGAGGCAGTCCATTTGTATCTGCCGAGGTTGTTTTTTTTTATCACTGAAAAAGCAAATAGCAGGTCTAAATGCACAATACACACTGTCACTTTTGCAATTTCTTTCTTGGAAAAGAGATGTTAATAAAAGTTTTATCTCACCATGCACAAACTAATAAGTCAATAAGATTGTATATAAACTGTTTATATCATGTAAAAAAGGCCTTCACAGTCACTCGAACATACAAAATGTTAGCCTAAACCCCCACGACGCAGATGTCCTGCCCTTTTTGCCTCTTTTTGGTAGAGAGAGACAAATGTGTTTTGAAAGTAGAGTTGCAAGTGGCGTCCACTGTGTGTTCTTTTAGATGGATCAATAGCTCAGTGTGTGAGAGAGTGTCTTAAGAGCTGTTGTCTTGTGCTTTCAGCTGTGGCAGACCTGTTAGTGCTACAGAGGGGAGCTACGCACCCCTGCCTCCGTACCAGCAGTGGCCTGAGGGGGGCTTTTAGTCCGAACACAAATGTCAGCCTCACATAGACTATTAGTGTTTAGTGCAGTTATTAAATGGACTTTATTTGTCCTTTAGGAGGCTAAAAGGCGCACTTAAAGGGGACCTGCGTGACAGCAGGGCAATTTGTGAGTTTGGTAACTTAGGCTTGCTCATTGCGGACACATGAGTACAGATAAGTGTAAAAGGAGGAAAGGCTGTAATGCTCAGAGCACAGAGAGGAGACAGCATTGTGTGTTTGGGGTTTGTGCGCACGCTTATGTGTGTGTGTGTCTCTATGAAACACACACTGAGTGAGTGTATGCTAAAAGGCACTTAGGCCATAACATATCTCACTGGGGTCTGGTAGCAGCGTTTTTGTGGTCAGAGGCTTTTTAAAAGGTTAATGTTAATCTATACCAAACAAAGCCCATGAGGAGCTTTTACAGCCGAGGACAGTTGAGTGAAATGGGTTTTGATGAAATGGTAGGTAAGTAACATACTGCACATCTTGTTGTAAATACCACAGTAAGCTAAACAGGCCTTGTGTGTTTTATTCACAGAAATCCGTGTCCCTTCCTCTAAGGCCCACAGTCAGTGATCGTGTAACTTTTGTATTACAGCATGTTCCTAGCCGAACAAGTAAGTCAAGGTGTTGTAGTCCAATGTGACCTGGGTGCCTATCTACATGGAAGAGTGTTTTCTTTAATGCATATGAAGCAGGTAGGCAGCGTGCCGTGGCCGTGTGCGAACACTAGGCTTAGACGCCTCGGGAAGCAGCTGGCTTATCAAAAAAAAGAAGAGGACCTGAAAAGTCACTCGTGTTCCCGGGCCGTAAATCACGCGTTGCTGTTTGTCTCCTTATCACTACAGGTGTGCCGATGCTCTCTGTCCAGCCCAAAGGGAAGCAGAAGGGGTGTGCTGGCTGCAATCGGAAGATTAAAGACCGCTACCTGCTCAAGGCCTTGGACAAATACTGGCATGAAGACTGTCTCAAATGTGCCTGCTGTGACTGCCGCCTGGGGGAGGTGGGCTCCACCCTGTACACGAAAGCTAACCTCATCCTCTGTCGCAGGGACTACTTGAGGCAAGAAAGACACACAATCACTTTTACCCTCTCACAAAAACATAATGGTCATGTCACTACAAGAGTTCTTTTTTTTATCTCCTGGTAAAGTTCAATATGGTTTTTTTTTAGAAGTCTTATCTGTATGCAGAAAAAGGTGATGTTGCTAATCTTGTTTCTTGTTGCATTATGAGATACAATTAAGCCCAACATCATTCATACATCTGGAGAATGTGAGTTTGAAATAATCTTACAATTGACCTAAAATGATTTCTCTTTGAAAGTAAAAATAAATATGTGTTGACGTGACAAGCCAGAGTTCATCCTTGAAATTAAAGAACCTTTGGAAAGATTAGGGTGATGGCAGCAGGGCTTTCCAACCTCAAACACTTAGAGCTCATTATAGAGAAATTGTCAAACGACCAGAGAAAACTTGCAAAAAGCTTGCTGGCCATGTTGAGAAAAGATTAATTTCTCTAATGCTAATAAATACCTTTTATGTTGATTATTGAGAGGGTGATATTAAGTTTGCAACTCCAATTTTTAATAAAAACTAAATGAAGAAAGTGTTTTTTATTAAGTAATCCTCGTATTATATGTATTATTTTTTGAAAGATTGCAGACTCTTTTTGTTTTTAAAAAAATACCTCTTGATTGAACAGAAATAATTTAAAAGCAAAGTATGCCAGGGACATTAGTAATTATAGGATCAATCATGGTTTTGGGCCCCATCATATGTATTGATTATGTGTTTCATGACCTTTATTTTGAGAACGTTCCCTGCTGATAATGGAAGTATATTTGAGACAATCAATAGGATTTTTTCTGGTTTTATGCATATCATGAAATACATTACACTAATAATCTGATTGCAGAAACTAGATAAAAAAATGCTGGAACTTAAAAAATATTAAATATCTCTGTTAGAGTTTACTAAGTACATATATTCTCTGACTGTGGTGAAATCATTCCAGTTATAACAATGATAGAATAAAACTTTAGCACATAAGGTAATGGTGTTTTCACTCTACTACCACCTGCGCATCTGCAATGTAAAATCATCCTTTTGTTTTTGGACATTATGAATTATCTTTGTCATGAAAGCTCACAGTATTGCAGAGTTGCTGAAAGCTGTGAGAATCCTCCAGGCATGCTTGTTGCGCTGCTCCCCGCCCCCCAAACACACTTCTGATGCCCCTGCCATCTGCTTGTTAAATTAAACATGACCATTTCCTAGGCATTAGGTCACATTCCCTACCATTTATCTGTGAGGGAATCCCCCTGGGACCGACTTAGGGATGCCGGTGCCCTTCGCCCCACCCCCTTTCACTCTTGTCCAAACCTCTGCGTCAAGCACTGACCCACCCCCCCACCACCACCTCTCCGCCCACCCTTTACCTTTTTGTATTTTCCTTCAAGCTATATGTTTCTCAGCTATCTTCTTGTTATCTTTGAAATGCTGGAGGATATATTCTTAATAAGCTATATTTTTACATTTAAACCAAAATGCATATTTATTGTTTTGGTATTTGGGATTCTGATCAACCTTTAAAACGATTTTAAAAATCCTGGTTTTGGTGTGTGTATGCATACTAGGAATCCATGATGGCTCAGTAGCCCATTTCAAGCAAAGTAACGTTTTAAATACTTAAAACTCAACGCTTGACTTAAATTTATGGGTTACAGAATTTTTTAGCAAAACTTCCTCTAACATATTTGCTTTTAAAATTGTATGCTGAATAGGTTAATGATTCAGAAGATATATGAAGTAACAGGAGTGGTACGATTGATTAATGAGATGAGATAATGCATTATTTTAGATCTGCAAGACAAGATTTTAAAAATATTTTTAGGAACACTTAGGATTCATTTTTTTATTTTATTTTACAAGTGTATATATGGCAGGCAATGGCAAAACCAGGAAAAAGACCCTGCATGGTCTTTTGTGTTATTTAAAGATCCTGAAAAAGTGGGATCTAAAGTTTGCAGAGATGTTAAACTTGTGAAAACTCAAAACGAATTTGTGAAGACATGGCCATTTGGATGTTGTCACTCTGCAAAAAAAACATAATTGAAAAATATTATTTTAAGCGTTACCTGGAAAAGCCAGGTGGGTGCTAACAAAAGTTGTTAATTTAAATAACTTTGCATATCTTGCCGTAACACCTTCCCCACGTAAACAGGATGTCAATATAGCGTCCATCTCAACTCAAACCAACTTAATGTGAACTCAGCACAATTTTTCCATATAAAGATGATTCACAAAGCAGCATTATGATATTTGTGTTAAATATGTGCATTTGGCAGAAAACATCTTTTAACCGTCCAGAAATTTACACAAAATTATGGTAACAAGAACAAAAACTAAGTAAAAAAACTTGACATTTACAAATTGGTAAATGTCGACTCCTTTATCTCTACATGCTTTTTGTGTTTTCAAGTTGGTCTGAAATAGACATGTTGTTACATTATTATTGCTGCTCTTTTTAAAAGCTCATTTAGTTTTCCAAATTTTTTTTTACAGTTTATTTATAGGCCATTTTATGATACAAAGAAATCTCATAGAGGAGTACACCAGGTGACAGGAATTCCTCAATAGGAAACACAATATGCAATTCTAGCTCTGGAGGTGGGTGATTAATGTTTTAAGCTAGGCCAGTGGTTGAAAAAGAAGAAATACATAATTTGTATGTTTTGTAATGAAGTAAAACGTACAAGAAAATAGTCTGCCACTAATATCATGTTTGGATATTAAAAATCAAAAGTAGAATGATAAAGGATTTAATTCCAATCTGGTGAATCATAATATTTTGCAAAAAGTACTGCTGTTGATTTTCAGGATTCTCATATCCTGCCACTCCTTTTCTGCTGCAAAAGATTCCATCTTTATGTTGTACATGAATTCTAGAAAACGTTTAAGTTTAGGACCCAAGTGCAGAATTCTCCTTTCTTCTCCTGAAGCATTTACCGCAAAAGTTACGTGACTTCTCCATTTTGCTGTCTCTGTCTTCTTCAAATGTTATGTTGGCGGTAGATTCTGACATCTAACTTCTCTTCTTCTGGTTCAAATATTTTTTTTTCATCACCTTCGTCTGTTAATGTTGAATGGAAACATGGAGAGTTCACCAAAGTTTTTTAGTGAAGCGCGGCCATGGTTAGACGTGGTTAAGCTTTTTGGCAATGCTTTCAGTTTGGTTTATCTTAAAAAAACAGGGTATCATATTCAAAAAGCATTAAGAAGCTGTTTAAGCAGACATGTTTCTTTTTTTTTGTCATACATGCAGCTTATTGAGTGACACACATAACAAGAGCCCTCGTTGAGCCAAACAAACGAGGTATAGAAATTAGCTCTGAGTTGTGTGTTTGACCATATTCTGCAACCCATCATATACTGTGATCTAAGGTGTGGCTGTTGTGGATTCTCCTCACCACTCTGCCCTGATTTAAAACATAAGCCACAAAACATGGTGCAACACCGGCCAACTGGGACTAACCATGAAAAGAGGATGGGTTTAAACAATTTTAAACCACACACAGTTTACCATTTTAAAGGTAAACTGTGTGGTTTTCTTTTTTTTTCATGTAAACAATTCATTAGTTTCTTCATAACTTATTTTACATTTTTAGGTTTTTTTACTTAACATTTTGCAATAAAACTACAATTTTTTATGTTCTCGGAAAGGATTTTTTTTTTACTTTTTAAAATAACGTACTTTACTTACTTAAGATTGCTTTCTAAAGAATCTGTTATCAACTTAAAGCAATTTAATCCAGGTTGGACTAGTTTGGATGTTGCCTATTCTTATCCCATTGTAAGATTGCCAAATAACAAAAGAAGAAGTGAGTACTGGTTAATACTGGTTTATTTAATTAAAATTGCTTCATCCAATTAACTGATAATATTAACTTAGACCAGTGTGGTTGCCAGCCAGAAGAGGGTGCTGCTTTTCATCCTTAAGAGAAGCAAGACCATAATAGTTGAAAGAGAAATAATCATAGCATAAGTCATACCAGAACAGAAACAATCCAATCTGAGGCAGGAGCAGCAACATTTTGCACAGTAAAATTGTACGTATGCCATTCCGTTTTGTAAACAGTCGACAAGCTCTTTGACTTATCACTTCTTAAATAAAGCCAATTCAGCTTTGTTGAGTCGTAGAGCGGCTTCAAATTCTTACACCAAAATTATGGATGTGCAAGATAGATGAGGATGTGATAACAAAAAAGTAGATCACAAAAAGCTATATCACAGTTACCATACACTTCATCACCACAAAGTGGCAAGTACATACCTGGTCTTTAAATTATTTTTTTATGTCTCTGTTCATGGGGAATTATATTTTTTCTACTAATAGGTTGCTGATTTGTTATATTTTGTAACTCTTTCTAAGTTTGTTAATTTAAGAAAACCTCAGTTGATTGGTTTATTCAGTTAGCATTTAATGCAGCATGGATAATCAGTTAACATATGATAAATTGCTTCTTTTTAAAATTCAGCATTATATTAAAAAATGTCCATGTTGTGGAAGCCCCTTTTTATCAAAACAGTTTTTTTTCTAAATTGGCAATTAATGAATAAATAAATCAATAGATTAAACAACTAATCTTTAACAAACTACCCAAATGAAATGAAAGATTTACAACATAAATACATGGCATACGAAATTGCTCAGCCAGAAACTAGTTTTAAAAATATCTCTTAGATTTGCTGTTTTACCAAGTTTATTCAACTAGACCTTGTGGTTGAAACATACAGTTAAAAAGATACACCAATTTTAATTAGAGTATGGGATTTTAAGGGTTTAGGGTTCAAAAGGATAAAGTAATTTATATAATTGGAGAATAAAGGAAGAAGTACTTTCAATGCTCCTTCAAAAGAGTGTCTCAAGGATATAGGGTGTTGAGCTTAATCACTCACTTTAGATCTAGAGCTGACAACAAGATCACTATTAGAAAGTACTTTGAAAAAGGATGGTATTTTATTTTAATAGATTTGTGTACTTGGGGGTTGTGTTAAAACA